TATGAAAGTTGCCAATTAGGTAGCCAGTCCTAATGTATGGTAACAATCTGTTGTGAACGTCCTCCTTAATTCTGCAACGATCATAACTCAAATAATGGTGATAAAAGGCTTATAAAGCATTATTAATTTTTGACATATTTTCAGAAAATACCCCTGATTTTAATTTTTGGGGGTGAAAATCTTTTTTTTGATTTTCTCAAAATCATGATTTTGACGTTGATCACGTTTCTATTGTCCATACCCCATTTAATAGTGGCACATTATTTCTCAATAAATGCAATTGTATTAAAAGTTTAATATAAAGCAAAATTTTATCTTTACATGATAAAAGAATATATATCAAGTAATCTGCCCAAGTTTAAAATTCTGTTTATTACATATTTGATTTCTTTAAACCTAATTTTGAAATAGCTATGATTTTACTTGTCATACTACCAATACTACTAAAAAGAAAGTTGGGAAATTTTTTTATAACTAATTTATTTCAATTACATTAATTATCTTCCAATAATTATCAGATGGTATATGAATTTTGAATTGTGTGCATTCAGCATTATGTTTGACATGAACTAAAATGATATGTTCTGGAGTATTAATGGGCACATCTGGTTCTCTATGACCATCTAGGTAGAAATTGACAAGATATACATCCATTTTATAATGATCAACATATCTTACAGCCTGCCATATTGCTTTATTGAAATCATTTGATGTGATGTTATTGACTTTGAGTGAGTAAGCAACCAAATTCTCATTACCTTTAACTATCATTAAATCAAGTTGTTCATGACCACTGCACTTTACCTCTAGCAAACATAACATTGGCCTGGGAAGTAAGCCATTAAAGACACAATAAAGTGCTGCCTGTAAAGATCTTTCTGCTGAACCATCTACATTTTTAACTCTATCATCAATGATTGTACAAGGATCAATGTGTTGTAATCCAAGTTCTAGCAACTTAATAGGATCGGTTGGTACTTTGTTTATTGGTAAAGGTTGTAGTGGTTTAGGAAAGACTGTGTTGATACAAATACGCAGGATAAGATAGCTTGTAAAACCAACAAAATAATTATCACCAAAAAGAAAGAGAATGCCAATGTTTATTAATCTTCTGATAAAGTGTTTGGGTATATTGGAATTTATGCACCATTTATCTCCCATATTCTTTGTAAGATCACGAATAATTGCCTTTTCAGTATCACTCATATTGTTTAACATTTTCTTCAGTTTGATATGTGTCCCATTCATGTACTCACTAAGATTATTTTCCAACATATAGTTCCAGCTAATTTCAGAGTCTGAACTAAAATTATTAAAGAGCTTTAACAAGATCATGAAAGAAACTGGGTGACCACAAGATTCTTGTATAATCTTATTCTGCAAATAGATAGGAACACCTTCTGGGCTGAACCTTTTTTCATATGAAGAAAAAAGCATACCCATCTCTTCAACATTGAATGGTTCCATTTTAATGAATTTAGCCTTGTTAAAAGGTGGATTGAGGTCCTCACTACATTCTTCATCACCTTTTCCATCATCATCCATCAAATCCATGAGCTTAGAGGTACCTACACCAATATAAATTAGATTCTCAGAGATTGAGATTGATCGGAAGAAATCTTTAGCTACATTAAGGAGCTTCTTGTTTGTAAAAATAAATTGAAATTCATCAATGAGGACATACAAAGGATCTTCTAGGTCTAAGATACGTGTCATGGTTTCTACATCAGTAAGGGTTTCTTTAAAAAAGTAATATGATATGATTTTGAAAAATTCATTTTGTAAATCTTGTGATTTTCTTGATTCTGTTGGTATTGTTATCCTGGTCACTGTTGTCATATCAAAATACACAAAATTTTTTCTTTCATCCACGAGTAATGATCTTATTTCTAACAATAAGGAGGTCTTTCCACTTTGGTATGGTCCATGAATAATACATGATTGTTTTGCTGCAATACTATCTATAACTTCTTTGAAGATATCTCTTTTGTATATGGGAACCATTAGTGAAACTCCAGATGGGTATACTGGTCCTTCTGTTGTTATAACACATTCCGTATGTATTCTTTTCAAGTTGGTTGAAGCTAATAAAAGCAAAAGACAAGTTCATATGATTTATTATGTAAACAAACTTTCATTTTGATATAAATAGATAAATAAATAAACAAAATGGAATGAATGGAAAATAATTTTTTGTATATTTTTTTATGCAATTTGTTCATTACTTTTTTCTTTGACTCTTGAAAACTTCGTAGTCCACTTTCCAATTTCTCCCATCCAAAATTTTTCCTTCTCTTCTAATGTCTTCTTTTCTCCTTCTAATTCATCTTTTTCTCCTTCATAATCCTCTTCCACCCTCTTCTTCTTCAAACTCTTCAACCTCTCCTCCCACTTCTCTTTCCATTTATTCAAGTCTCTTTTTGCTGACTCATATTCTCCTTTTGCTAACTCAAATGTTTCTTCATATGCCATTATTTTTTGGAAAAAAAAAAGATTGTAAAATTTAATTTTAAAACATTTATTTAGATTATAATTGTTGCCCAATAATAAATTAATGGGCACATGACTTGGAATTTATTTTAATTCAACTAATAATTTTATAAAAAATATAAGTTAATTGACGATCTGTGAATAAACCAGTGAAAATTAGTAGGATCGGCAGGGCAAAAATGGTAAAAAATCGTCAATTGACAATGTTTAGCAAATAATAAAGCATGATATTTTTGTATTACAAATCTTGCTCTTTTTATGTATGTGTGAGGTAAATCTCATGGAATAATATGTCAAAATATTAAAGGGATTGAAGTGCTCTTCAAAAACTTTTGTATGTTTGTCACTGAGATTTCAAGAAGTCAATAACATATAAAAATTCGGAATTTTTTAACTTTCAGCCAACACTATAAAGTATTCTGACCAAAATTATACTTTTTTTTTATCGGTTTATCTACAAAAAAAATTTTTATTTTAATGAAACCTATCAAATGAACTTATATGTTGTTATAGTAAAATTAAAAAATAACTGAAAAAGAGTTTTAAAGAAGTATTTAACAATTTCTAAGGTTGTTTTCTGTATTTTTTGTATGGACATGAGAATTAACTTGTGAAGATGGTGAGATTTGGGAAATTTCTTATTTTATTAATAATAATTGGTGACAAAATTTCATAACAAAATGATCAACATCTCACTGATTCATTCACAGATTGTCAATTAAACAAAATTATTTGCTAATACCAAAAACAATTTATTGATCTGATCCACACAAAAACAAAAATAATTGTTATCACCAATTAAAAATATGCTCTCCCAAATTTAATTGGTGACACATGCATACATTTGTACATCATCAAATTTTTCATTATGCCAAAAATGGACAACATTGAGTCCTTGAATTTTCTGTTCTTCAGATTGATACATAGGATTCTCTGCCTTACAATATCTATCCTCACAGGTGAAGTGCACAATCCAAATTGCAGTAGCAGCCAGGTTGTTACCATAGGACAAAGCATGATTAAAATGTTCTTCTAGATTTGATTGATTAGCTGTGGCCACAAGCTCTAATACAATGTTTTCTTCATTACCATTGATTACAATGTCAATATAACAATGCACATAATCTCCATCCTGACTAACTTCTGTCAAGTGCCATTGTCCAGTAACAGTGTATGAAACAAGCCAGTTTCTCAAAATCCTTATTAATTCCTGATCATAGGTGCTTTCCCTAGGAATTTTCCTCCCACTTTTACCATTAACAGGTACAGTTGCTTTCTTGAAACAACATAAAGGTGCCAGATGAATGAGATCCATATCAAAGAAAGTAACAACTACTTGAAGCATCTTAAGGATATCAAGTTTCTGATATCTATCAAGAGGAATCTCACTTCGAGGTGCATGTGGAAATAATTCTGGAAGAACATCCATTTTGATGTATGTACCAACAAGGGGGGATGATAATCTGACCATGTTCAAGGAACTATCAGCAGGTGTCAAGACACCTTCTGCTGCCAAGAATTCTATCAAACGATTATGCTGATCAGGAACTTCTGTGAATTCTACAGCATCAAGAAGGTACTGGCGAAGAAACTTTACAGCTTCCATGGAATGAGGTTCTTTGAGTTTATTAATCATCTTATGAAATGTTCGGTATCCCCTTATCTCTTGTGGCAATGTTTTAAGTTTAAATTTTTGCCAATGTTGGTAAGTAATACATCGTCTTCCATTAAAATCTTTTGGTGGTAATTTTTCATCAATAGCACACCCACAAAGGCAAGTAAAGCCTGCATGACTTTGATAAAATCAATAAGAGTGGTTAGTTTTTCTTGGTACACATTATAAAAAGCATTATAAAGAACCACACCTACCCATTTGTTAAAGCATAGATGTCTGTGATCACCAGAGGGTCAATGACAATACCTCTATCACTCATAAACTCTTCAAATAAAGCTTTGACTTGCTTAAATGGCAAATCTGGATTCTGGTATTTCTCTGTGATGTTGAAAGGAGACACATGGGGATTACTTGTGTTCAAATAAAGTATACTGAATGTCCCAATGGCAACCACAGAATGGATGGGTCGTTTTTGTTGCTGTTTAAGAGAGCGTAATGACCCTAAAAGGCTGTCTTTGATTGTTTTACTAATTGAATACAGTGTATCAAATTCATCAATGAACAAAACCACAGGTTCAGACCATTTTTCAAAAAGACTTAGAAATTCATCCCAAGTTTGTGAAGAATTAGACAATCCAGCAGTTCTCCTGTTTGACTTCAGCAACTGGCTAATAAAAATTTTCCAGAAAGAATCTGATTTTAAGTCATCAGTCTCATAAGTCAATCCCTCAAAACTTGCACTATTGTCGAACAATATTACAATTATAATAAGCAAAAGGCAATATTTTAGAAATATAAATAAACATAGATCAATGAACTTACTATAAGCAGAAATAACCTTTCTCATTCAGCTGTTCCATAGTTCGAAATACACAAGATGATTTACCTGAAGCACGTGCACCATGTATCATTAAAAAAGAACCTTCAATAATTTTCTTGAGAAGTGATGAATTCCATTCAGCAGGATCAGCAAAGTATTGCACTTTTCTCTCTATTGCTGTTACTGCACCATTTGCCTTCCATCTTTTTGAAACCTGAAAATATGTAGAAATGTAAAAAATATAGAAAAAGAGAACAAAACATTTCAAATAAAAGTTAGCATGATTTGTACCTGGAACTCTTCAGATTCAACTTTTCGTTTCCCTTCATGAATTTCAGTACACAACAAGAAATTGAAAAGCACAAGTCAGTTAAAGTTGTAAATGATAATTCAAATATTCCACAGACAAACATATAAATAAATAAATGAAATTGAATGAACTAAAAATAAACAAAATGGAATGAACAAAAAATATATATATATTTTTTTAATGCAATTTGTTCATTACCTTCCCCTTCTCTTCCTCCGAATTCTCTTAACGCCTTCCCCCACTCCTTCACCTGCTCCTTCCAATCTTCTTTATCTTTTTCCAATTTCTTCTTTTCTTCGATTAAGTATTTCTTTTCTCCATCCCATTTTTCTTTCTCTCCTCCCAACAACTCATTTAACTTATCCCCCAAATCCTCTAACTTCTTCTCCGCCTTCTCTAACCTTTCTTCTGCTTTTTGTAATTTGTTATCTATTTTTTCGAATGTTGCCATTTTTTGAAATAAAAAAAAGGTTTGTATGATTAATTTTTTAAAAAAATTTTTTTTTTATTGATTTAGATAAATTAGTGGCACATGACTTGTAATTAAAAAAATTTTTTTACGGGACAAATTAATTACTAATAATACAGAAAATACCCAAAAACAAAATAAGCAAATTAACAAGAAGCTTATGTAAAAAGATAGTGGAAAAATCCAAAGAAA